TCAGTGATCTTGTCAACTGTACATTGCGTCTGCAGCAGTTTTGTGTGTTGGTAGGGTAGGAAGAAGTACTTTGCTGGAAGCACAGAATGCATGACTACATCTCATGTAGATAACTGGATAACTTGGTTAATCAGGAAACAGAACAGCTTTTTCTTTTTTTTTTTCTCCTTTGAGGAATTTGCTGTTTACTTTGCTGATTGAATCATTCTGACTCAGAGACAGTCTGCTTACGTGGGTCTTCTCCTGACCTTCAGCACAGGGGTGAATTTCACCTTTTGTCTTCTTTGTACTTCCCCATGCCGAGTAATAGTTTGCATTCTTTTCAGCCTTTGAGTCAGGATATTTAGTCTGTTGCTCAACAGGAAATGAACAGGAAAGAGTTTTTGTCATAGATTAATACAAACCTTAGATCTTGAGTGGATGGATAGTATTTTCTTTTACAGCTCAGAGGTGGGAATTTAGCATGACTGCCTACACTTAGTTCCTAAGGAAACACATTAAGCAGCTGAACATCCGATGGCGGCAGCAGCATTTCTGATGAAGCGATACATTAGACGGTGTTATCTGTGTAAGCGCAAATGCTCACTGACATCGTCAACACACCATGTCACTAATACTGAGGAGAGAAGGCTAGCGCCTGTTCAGCTCTCATTGCTGCAAGACAGCTGAGCTGCCCAGAAATATTTCCTGGTTGAGCTGAATGTGCTGAAACAGGAACTCCCTGCAGTAACTCCATGCTGCCTGTCAAAAACACATTTCTTAGGAAAATTTCTAGAGCTACCCATGTTTCCACTTTTGGACTGCAGACATAATTAATGTCCCACACCTTTTCCTAATGATATACCAGTGTAAATGGGGTTTTGCTCTGCTGCACTGTTCTCCCACATCAAGCAAGCTACTTTTGATAACCACATAGTTTGTCTCTGCTGGAGTCTTAGCAGCACCAACACAGACACCACAGAGGTGGGCAGCAGTTGCAATCAGAGAACTTAAAACAGACGTGAAGGTGCAGCCATGAATTAGGAGTGAGGAGAGCTGTATTACCAAATAGGAAGCTCCACCAGGAGGCTGCACCTTCAAAGGACAGATTTACATGAAAGTAAATCCAGTGCAGCAGCATGGAGTTAGCTTGGGTACACAATGGGATGAACTTCACCTTCTGGTTCTGTTGGGTTTGTACTTGACTCAGCTGTGTAAAGACCCAGTGGTCTTCCCATGCTAACCTGTCCCAGGTGAAGATGACTTGGCAGTATACCATTCTCCTTCCTGCCTCTTGCAGATCTCCCAGACCTCAGTGTCTGGTTCTTGAAGATATTAGGTGGTATGGTGCCTCAGCCTAAGCTAGACACTTTGTACAGTCATGTTGACTGGGGGATGATTTCTGACAGTCTTTCTATTCTAATTTCTTGGGGACACAGTGGTATGACTCTCATGGACCTGGAAGGATTTTGAAGTTGTGTGCGCCACTGGGAGAGTTTTACTGCTGTAGCAACCCTGTTAAAATATGGAGAGAATCTAAGTCTCAAGCTAATCTTGCAAGGAAATAATTTAATGTTTTTCTTCAGCAGTAGGCATAGTGGAAGAATTACCATTATAAATCATGGTGAAATGGAAAATCAGCTCTTACCTACAAATTTTCTGTAGAACGTATCTGCTGAGAATGAGAAAATTAAACTTTTGTCTAAAAATACTTTTTTTCAATAAGGATTGCAAATTTCTGATAGATGTGAAAAATCTGGATCAGCTGTCAGCTCCTGGTAACTCGGGGAACTGATGTGAGAGAACGTGTGTGCTGTCCACTGTCCTCCCATGGTGTATACGTCTGACCTTTTGGGGCTTTACCAGAATAAAAAGCTTTTCTTTACGTAGCTGACTTTCATAGAGATCACTACCAGTAAAACATCTTTTCTCTTTTTGTTGATTATTTTCTTTTTAATAATTCTGTCTTTGATCCAGTCTCTGTATATGAGGCAATAACTATCCATCACAGACCTTCCCTATGGATCAGGACTATGATCTAGAAGATAGTGAAATCAAGCTCTAGCACAGGAAGGCTAAAATAGCAGTT